CCCCAAAACCCCAAAACCCCAAAACCCCAAAACCCCACTAAATCTAAGGAATATTGATAATTTAAAATAATTTTACTACAAAAATGCTACCAAAAAATAAATCAAACAAAGAGATCCTCTCTCGACTAGAAGAGATCGGCAGTATTGTCAGAAAGTATTCAAGCGGTGGACCAAGATACTCAAGAACAAGTCACAGTGAAGATTTCCCTGGTTTGCTGAAAGAGCTTATAGGAGATCCTGAAAAGGCTGAATCTGGATTGATATCTCAGTATGGCCAAAATGAAATCGACTCAAATTCAGGCTCAATAGTTAAGCAGCTAGATGATATTCTTTTACCTAAATCAGGGTTGTTCTCCTATGCTTGGAAATCAAATGAGGATAGTAGCTTAAGGTTTAATTTCCCCATTGTTAATTTACCAAAACATGCCCAAACTTTGATAGAGCGAAAAATGTTTGACAATCTTCCTGATCTATACTCTTGTTTGGCATATCCTATTCAAGAGCAAATAAAGAATATTGTCACAGATCAATGACTTGTGCTGTCCTCATTCGAATATCTTCTGTTCTGATTTTTCACTAAAATAAGTAGGATAGATAGCAAAGACGATGGAACAAAACTTGTTCTCTCAACACTTGGATTCAATGTCCTTGACAGACCTAGATATGAGCTCCACCTGTTCTCAAAATATTATTTGTATCTGTTTCACCAGGCTGCTTATGGAAAGCAGTTCAATGTAACTCTCTATACACAACTAGTTATTGAGTACTTCCTGAATCCTGTTGTTCTTGTGGATATGATCAACAGCTCAATAGATGAAGCTAATGAACAATATGCTAGCAGTAACCGCTATAGATTTGGAGCACCAGGAGGAAACCAGCCAAAGTTGACTCCTTTCAAAATCACTGAAGAGCCCAGAACTATCCAGATGCTGTTCATCCATGTTTCAGTGATGATTATTAAAGATCAATGGAAGCCTTATTTGCTCCCAACTCTTCATAACACAAAATATGATGTTGAAGAGAACCCAGCTATCATGATTATGAGAAGTATGCATAAATGGTTTAAGACTTTATTGACTCACAGAGCTGACTTAATAAACAACAAAGGAAAAATGTTTAATCTGTGTTGAGTCTATCTCACCATTGTCGCTACTGAGGAATCAAATGACGATGCATTCTCACTCATGATGTCTACAAGAAAGCCAAAGTCATCGAGGACAGGGTACTTCAGAATTACCTCAAGCTACACAAATGATTACTCGGATGAAGAGTATGATGATGAGCTTATTCTCGATAAATTCCATAGAGGAGGAGGTATGGACCAAGACAGTCTCAATGAATGGATCAAAACTTTCTTGGTCCTTTACACTGATACTTTCAGAGATTTCGTAACATTTATTGCAGATGAAGATAATATTAGTGGACTTGACTACCTCGCAATTTATGAGCTCTCAGAGCTATTTAAGGTAGAAGCTAAAAGAACCTTGAACGGGGCTATCCAGCTTGAGGTCTTGACTAAAATTTCAAGAAGCAATAGCAGTAAATCTGAATGTAGAGAATATCAAGCATATATTCAGCTTATGCATGCTAGTCCTGAATGGATTGATCCATTTAGCTATGATAGGCACTTTAAGAGTAAAATAGACAGAGTAATTGATCACATTGGAGCAAGGTATCCAGTATCTGTCACAGGGTTCCCGAACAGCGTTAGTGGAAGTCTTGCTGAGAATGTTCTAGAGACAATAAAACAGAACATTAATAGAACAATTGATAATTTTATATCTATTGCAAAGAGCTCGAATATAGACAGAAATAAGGACTATAATGGCTCCTACAAAGTTACTCCATTTGAAGTAGTTGAAGAGTCTACATTCAAGAGATCAACAAGATCTAAAGAATCAGGAAAGTCCAAGAAAAATCCTTACAATAAAAACAAGAAAGATGTAGATTACTATTCAGATTGGAGAAAGCCACAAGGAAAGAAGGAGAACCTTATTTTGTATCTGATATTCTTTTACCTAAGCATGATTGTAGATAGAGTGATATATCGCGATCAAGATCCTTCAAAATTCGAATATCCCAAAACAAACCTCAGGTTCATGGCAAAACCCCTAAATTTCCTCGCCTTGGCGATCACTGTTGGAATATTTTACTACATCTGTTTCTAAAATTTGGTCTAATTTCAACAATCATCCACTGTCTGGGGTTTTGGGGTTTTGGGGTTTTGGGGTTTTGGGG